CTGCTGTCCCTATTTTAGGATCCTGTTTTTATATCCTATTTTAAACCAAGTATGCTTGGGTCTGGGGCTATTATTTTTCTTACAATTCAGATATTTTATTTGCTATAAAGTCTCCAGTTTTCATGAATGAGTCAGAATTTTGAGCACTGAAATATTCTGAGCTTTAGTATGTTTTGTTAGATGATAGAGATCAAGAATTTAATGAACTAGAGCAATAACTTCTGTAGAATTTTTCCAGTCTCCCAATTAGTTACACTACTTAACCTTCCAAAGGTATTCTCTTGTAATGCAGTATCTCTCTTCTAGTTATTTACAGGACTTAGAGCTCCTGCACGAGGACTATTGTTGTTTGGCCCTCCAGGAAATGGAAAAACGATGTTGGTGAGAATTACTTTCACTTTAGTTAGCAGATCTCAATTTAAAAACTGTTTTCAGGAGCTCTTGTTCTCCTAGATATCAGGACATCCTTCTTGGGCATTTAAAAATAATACTATTGGAACCCAATCCTACTTAATGATTTTTTTTTTTTGTGGTGCTTTAATAGAGGCTTTCTATTTATATGTTAAAAGTTCTTTAATTTCTGTCACTGCAGTATCTTCCAGTTTTATAAAATTGTGTCACCAACACACAAACTCAATGGAATATGGAATATGTGCATGGAACTCTGTGCACCTATATGATAACATATTTTAGTGCTAAAAGTGTGCCCCTGGGTCTGCTTGGGGCAGGCTGGGGCCAGGGCTGTGCCAAGCTCTTCCCAGTGGGGCGGAGCTGTGCTGGGAAGGGGCTACTGGGAGGGGGGGTGCTGCAGCCACACATTCACCACAGCCCTGCCCCACCAGGAAGAGCTTGGTGCAGTCCTGGCCCCAGCATGCCCACCCTGAGCAGATCTGGGGACACACACCTCCCTCCGCCCCCACCGTGCGCTCCCAGACCAGCGGTGCGCAGCAGCGGGAGCTTCCCTTCCCTTCCACGCGGCCCCCAGATGAGCCGTGGCACTGTCTCGCACTTGCTTCACCCTGGCTGGGTAGTGCTGTCCCCAGCCCCACACCTTCCCTCATTGCGGAGGCCTTGATCTGCGCCCCCCAGCCCCTTCCCTCCCCTCTTCCCTTCTACCACACAAGACTTATCAGCTGGAGGCAGCTCTCCACGCTGCAGGGTCGGGTATCAGAAATCGGATCGGTATCGGCCAGTATGCCTCCTTAAAAATCAGCTGTTGGTATCAGCCGGAAAAATCTCTACCAGTGCAGCTTCGTAGGGCAATGAATGTGAGGGATTTGTGAAGGAATGGAGGTATCTGTCACAGCATCATTAAATTAAGCTAACTTAATTACTAAGATTGAGAATGCATTTTGTGTATTTCCATGCTTTTAAGGTTCTGCATTCGTGAGTGAAAAATTATATTTATTCATGAGTAACTGCATACTGTAGTACTTTACTAGATGTGGCTTGTGGCTGACCTAACATTTGAACTTGCAACTTAAAAAAAAACAAACACCCCCATCTCACCAGACGCTAATGTTGCCTTAGCTTTTGAGTGAACCCCGCCC